AGTTATCGGACTGTCATTTAAATTATCTCCTTTTGACCAAGATAATAGAAATATTTGATTTTTTGATTTTTCAATTTGGCGAATTGCTAGCAGATACCTCTTCGTTTGAAAGGGGACTTGGGAAGAAAATCGCTTTTCATAGTAAACCGTCTTGGGGAGCAATTTAGTACTCGGAAAAAGGGTCGGCCGGATATCGCTTTATTCTACCGTACTCTGATTTATATTTCCCAGCAGCCATGAGATAAGCCCTTGGCAGTGGCTCTTCAATACTCCTATTATCAGTGTACAGGGAAAACGCCTTATCTCATTTCCAAGCGGTTTTATCACTCAATCGGCTAGTGAACATTAAATAAAGCATTAATTGATACGAAATAAATTTTAGGGATTGAAAAGGACAAGTGTAACTGTCAAACCTTCTTGTAACTTTTGCTTAACAAAAAATATACCTTTTGATAATTTCAAAATTAATTCCTTGGTATATTAGTAAACAACCTTAAAGGATATTATTAAAAGTTATAAAAAGTATATCTTACTACCATTTATACTATTTTTAATTGTATACTGATTGTTTAGTAATGGAAAATAATATATAAATTCAATCTAGTCGATTATGTTTTTACGTCAGAAAGTAACAGTTTCTCCAAATAGTATCACAAAAACAAAATTAACCTGCAATAACAAAACAATAATAATTATATTTCAAAAAATAAAAAAATAATATCAGTATTAGAATAAGCACTACTTTCGTCTTTAGACATACAACTTTTTTCTAGAATGCCAAGGGTTTTAATATTTTAAATATATTTCTATATTTTTCAACTTTTTAAATAATAAATAATTTAATTGATCAAGCGGACCACGCAAACGAGTGCTTTTAAATAATTATTTAAAGTTTGAAGGTTCTGGAGGTTCTTTTTTAAAATATCTACGAAGGAACTGACTGTATTCTTTCTAACTGGCCTTATCATTTAAACTTACTTCATTGGAATATTTGTAAAATAGTATTAATATCCATTATTCCAAGTTATAAAACGTGATTCTTATTACCATTTATAAAAATTCTTTAGTTATTCAGCAGTATAGTATTCAGTAATTTTAGTATTCAGTCTTGGCAATAATGGTTTTACTTCATAAAGATTTTACAAAAATGAGAGGTAAGAACAATTTTTCCAAATATTATCTGATTAAAACTAAAATTAATCAACAATAATAAAACACTAATAATTAATTTTAAAAACAAAGAAGAAGAAGCACCATATCAGTATTGTGATAACTATTTGTCTATCCTTTTATTTTCAGATATTTAACCGTTTTCTAGAAAGCAACAGAATTCAAAACTTTGAATAGATATTCCTATTTGTTAAAGTTTTAAATAATTATTTAAAATTTCAAAGTCTTTATAAAAATTATACATTTTAAGACAACTCTTATTTTTTTAAACTTTTGTTTTTAGATTTATAACTTTTTTTAGAAAGCAAGAGGTTTCACAAATTTGAATCACTATTCCTACTTGTTAACCTTTTAAATAATTATTTTAAGTTTTAAGGTACTGATAAAGGTAATCCATTTCTCGAAAGCTCAAGAAAGAACCTGGCTGTTTTTTTTATTAGTGACCTCAATCTTGTTAGTGTTCTTAATATATAATTATAACCGAAGGCTGATCAATAATTATATCAGAAATAATTTTTCCATATATTAGAAATATGAAGAAAGTTTAGAAAGAGATATAAAATTTAATAAAAATCATATGAACCATAAAAACTTGCATTATGTTTTTGTGTTTGAATTTACTCCGTAGCTTTTTTATAAAAGAAATATTGACCTAGATTGATAGACACTTGATTTAAGATTAGTTCGGTTTCATAAAGCCCTGCGGACAGCTTTTTTATAAATAAAACTACATAAATATTCAAATAATATAAGGATATCTTACAAAAGCTAGTAAATAAATAAATAAGTTGAGACACTAGTGTGTAAAGCATAGAAGGAAGTTAATTGTAAAACCACTTAAACTTTATTCAATCTTGGAAAAGCCCAAGGTACAGTTTTTTAGAATTATTTTACGAGTTTGGTCAATATTAAACGGATTATTTTCAAAATTGTAATAAAAAATTAAGGCTGGATAAAAACATTATTTGTAGTAATGATTGATAACTTTCTGTTTTGGTTATTTTGGCTTCAGTATTTGTTTAAATCCACTTCCTTAAACAAAAATCACCTTAAAGTAAACATTAGCGTGGTTTGAGTGAATTTTGATTACTCAGTATCAAATTAAGCCACGGATTGATAAGCGAGGGAGAAACACTTGAGTTCTCTAATTAATCAACCTTTTGACGGATTGCCCGACGAGGAACCATAGCGCCCTCCACCCCCTGATGATCATTGCCTTTTTGTCTTGGTGGTGGTGGAGGGGAGGTAAAATGATTTTTTAATCGACATCAGACGTTTTATTGCCCGATAAAATTAACGATTCTACGACCGGGTCGAAAGTGTGGAAACAATTTGTTCCCTAATAGTGCAACGTTGTTGGCCTAGCATGAAATAACAATATCTAAAACTTTGTTTCAAACTGATCAAACGTGACTTTTTTATTACAATTATATAAAATTGTATATTGTATATTTTTCTTTTATCTACACTAAGCATCTAAAGTTAAATTCTAATTATATTGTCAATATAGTAATAGTAATATATAATTTATTTATTGGAGTGTAATGAATATATCGTTTATACTATCATTTCATTGCTACTGATAGATTAAACATTCACACATTTTTATTATTTACGGCATAATATTCTTATTTTTGCGATAGTTCCATTTTCTATGGCTGTTTCATAACCCGCGTTCTACAACATACTTCAAACTTTGTTCAATATAAATGTACTTAACACGTTCACTGCGGATGATTGGGTTGTTATAGGCGGATGACGCCAACCTGGCGGCCAAAGAATATCCGCCTGGTAAAAAAGGCGAAAAATTAGATCCAGTATGGAATGTATTAAATTCCACTACTAAAAATGTACAGATTGAGAAGAAATTGAAATATAAAGAAATTGCATTCTTCAAATATGAAATAGTAAAGAGGATTTGACACTGATGCCCTTGATATCAACGCAGAACTGTACTTTCCTTAGATAAAAAATAATAATATAAAAATTATTATATTTACTTGTTTTAAACATTTTCTTTTATAAAAATGGTTAGGTATTTTAGAATAATGCAAAATAATTGTTATTTTTTGTCTTAATTAAACAAAAACCACAAATAAACTAAGTAGAAAAATGTGTAGGCATGTCGAGAAGGCTGTTTTGTCGTATTTTCCCTTTTTTAAAAACGAAGAAAACAAAAATGCATATAATTAATTTATAAACATCAATAAATATTGCACAAGCAAGAAAATCTGTCTTGTATAAGAACAGAACTTTATTCAATTCAGTAAAGACAAATTAAGCAAGCTCCAAGCACTTGCTTGTTTAGACATAAATTTTTGGTACTATGAATGTGATAAATATGCAATACCAAATTTTAGAACAATAAATATTTGTTTCAAAGTACTATATTGATGTTTTTGTGTAATATAAGTTTTAAACTTAAAATACTTAATAATTGTTATAATTTTAATGTAGTATTTAAAGAGTTTTTATATCTTTAAATAATGATAATTTAATTAAGAATTTTGCTTTTATTTGAGAGCCGTGTTAACACAAAATCGAATAATATATTCTAGCACCACCCATTCCCAGTGTACGTCCTAACTTTGTCGTGAGGGCGCCCTGATCCAAAATTAATAAGATTTAACCTTCTGAATAGTCCCACCCATTAAGTAAGCAAATTGTGAGAGCTATGGCATTAAATTTAGTTATTGGGCAATATAATGTTACGGGAAAATGTCACAAAGGCGTGAGAGAGGGTGGAAAAGGCCTTTGCGAGTTGTAAAGAATCTAAAGCGTCGAGTATGGGCGTTGCTGGTGGTGGATTGAGGTTATCTCGGTCACATCGAGAAAAGCTGGCACGCAAAGTAAGTATTTAAATCTCCAGTGCAAAAATATAAAATCTATGACCTACGAAACTCGATTTTTTGTAAAAGAAAAATTAATAAAATAACTAAAATGAAAATTCAATTTTTGTAAAGATAAAATATTGTTTAAAAAATTATAATAATTATTATATACTTTTAGGTTTGATATTAAAATATAAAAATATAATCTGAACTGAAACATAAAGGAAAATTAGTCATGGATGAATTGGTTAATATAACAAATCAAAATTTCAATAGTAAAAAATATTAGCTTGTCCTAAAAAGAAATATAGGAATATTTGATCATTGTTTGGCTCGTATTTATTTAATTAAAATAAAACAGATTATTCATTGTTAGTTCGGTGTTTCACTTTCATAACAACCCTTGGTTTAGAATTTGTTAGAAACTTTGTCAAATAAGTTAAAAATTAGTCTTCTTTAGAGAAACAGTTTTTATTAAAATAAATTTTGAGGAACCGTTTCAAGAAAAATGTACTGTAAGGTTGTCAGGAAGGTTATTTATTGGAATTCTTCAAAATTAAAAAAAGTTTTGGTTTTGGAGAAATCGTTCGTTTCGCTGAGACAAATAGATCTCATTCTTTTTTAAAGCGATGAAAGGCGTTTTGTGTTGTTGTCAAAATTTGTTTTGAAGGGTATAAAAGGTCAGGGCGGGGGTGGGGCTGTGGTTGTCAGCCGGGAACCTTCACACCGTCCGAGGTCTCTCGTCCCTGTCGGCACGCGAGCGAAGCGTACGATCCGAGGATTGAATCGGCGATTTTCCCGACAGTACTTAAACGCAAAGGAGTCTACTTCCTGGTATTTACAGAGGGGGGGAGGAGCCGGAGGACTCGTAGCCGCACAGATATCGATCGGGAGTGTCGGCCTTCTCCCGTTGGCGGTTTGAGAAGACGGTCATCCCGACCGCGATAACGGGCTGTAAAAAGCCCGAGAAAGAAGTGATAAAAAAACGAGATGACTTACTGATAATCCTTGGCTTGGCTGAGTCATGTCTGTCCACATCACCACTGACCCCTAACAGCGCGAACCCACAGTCCCTGAGCCTACGCAGGCCCTGGCTCTCTCGGGGCTTACTGGCACTGGCACTGGCAAACAGCAAGGGCGCGGCTCCACACCCTCCCAAATATTCCGCGCAAGCTCCACAAATTAACTCTAGTTTCTGACTCGAGCCCTTCTTCGCCCTCTCGTGCCTATCTCCTCCTATCTATTACATCTCGTGTTTACATTTATCCACGTGTGCATAAATTAAAATAATAAAACACTAGTAGGCGGAAAACATTGCTGATAAAAGTTTCAGAGAATTTTCTCATATTCGGGTTTTAGACACCCACTTTTAATAGCCTGTTAAGAAACTGGATTTTTTTTATATACGATATGAAACCGATATATATCCACAAATGAAAGAAAATATATAATCCTTCACTTGAGTTAAATTAAATTAATTGACTCGGATTGGGCATAGGTTTAAAAACTAATCACCAATTACATAAATATCAGAAAACAAAAGATTTCTTAACAGAAACGTCTTTTAAAAAAATTAAGTATTATCACATGCAAAAAGTGTTTAAATTCACCTTCTATAAGATAATTTTTCTTCCTTTTGTGTGTTTCTTATTAATTATTTTTTTGTTACTTAACAAAACAGACTATATAAGCATATAAAGGATTTCTAAAACAGATATCAAAGGTAGAAATTTCAAAATTTAAAAAAAAAGTGTTCGACAAAGATGCCCATTGTCACCAATTTTATTTTTCGCCGAACTACAAGTATTTTCAAATAATTCTATTGTAAAAACGAAGGCATTTTAATATAGAGGAAAAAGTTAACGAACCTTAGATTTACCGACGATGTTATGTTGGTGGCAAGAGATGGCAAATATCTTCAAATAATTGTACAATCTTGCAAAAATAAACTACAAAATAGGGTTCACCATGAACAAAAAGAAAAGTAAAATAATGACAAATAATACTAAAAGAAATAGAATCGAAGTTGGTAGGGCTTAAACGTTGATAAAATACTGGGAATTAGACAAAGAAAAATGGCAAGGAGCATCCTAATTAGACAAGGTCAGCAAAGGGAAACTCCGGCAGGGACTGACTCCCACAGGAAGCACATCTGAGGAGCTGGCCACATGGCAAGAATGTACGAAACGAAATAAGCAAGAATAAGCATAGAATGTGCCCTGAGATCGGTGAAAGGAAGAGACGACCCACCAGATGATCGCCAGACGAAATTCGTCGAGATTGGGAATTCGTTGGGACGTGCTGAAAAGAGATAGAAGAAAAGTATAGAAGAAAATGTTAACTAACGATTAAAAAATTCAACTAGTTTCAACTAGTTAAATAGTTTATTTTATAAAGGATGACTAATTTTAAAAAAATTGTTAACTGTTTAAAGACAAAAAAAATTATTTAAATTAATAAGAAAGAAAAATTAGGTTTATGACTTTTTTTAAGGATCGTAAAAAACAAGATTGTTATTGAATACATTAAAGAAATTTCGCTGCTACAACGACCATAATGCTGTAGTTTCTTGATCAGAACTTTTTTTTAAAGATTTTTTTGAGCTCTACATGTTGATATGGTTTCGGAAAGATCGAGCTGATAGGATCGAGGTTTGCTGCATCTTCTAAGATAAGAGTGTTGAGGGAAATCTGCCGTGTACATTACAAAAAGTAACGGTCTTGGTTGCTCCCTTGAGAAAGACAAAAGAGGTTGGAACGGATCTGAGAGGAGGATACGATCCGATAATTAGGATTTTAGGGTGTTATATTATGTATATGTTATGTTTTGTGGACTAAAAAAAAGGTTTGACTTTCATTAGTAGACCCTATTTCAGTCGCAATCGAATGCCTGGGAGAAGAAAGACCCCAGGGTAGAACGCTCTAGGGAAATGGAAGAAAATTAAAATAATGACAAAAGATTTAAAAAAAGTAATGTAAAAACAGAAAAATGAGTTATTCTGGAAGCACCTTTGCTTCGATCCCAAGTCTACTAAAGGTTGATTATAAAAATAACAAATGTGTATCTTTTGTAATCAAACTATACATTAGTTTAATTCATTTCCGTTATCAGTGTGCAGATCATCTCAAACTTTTTTTTGTTCAGAAAAGGTGCATTAACAATCCTTGATATTTGATTTATTATAATTCTATGCTGTCACGAAATTTTAAATAATAATTTTAAAAAAACAGCAATAAATTTTATATGTAATTTAAAATGTGATTTTTGCATACATTTGGCCTTCCAAATTAAGAATTTTAAGAAGATAAATTAAAGCTTGGATGGCAATAGGATAAATTAGTCTACGAGTGAATGTTTGGAGTCAGAGCTTTATAGCACTCAGAAGGGATATAGCTAAACTAAGATAGAAGTTTTGGGATGTTAGGGCGTGAAATGACCTTAGCCGTTAAAACGCCCTTAAAAATTAATAATAATAATAATTCTTATTATTATATTAAAAGATTCACGTAAAAGGACCGCGGTGGAAGAGTGGTTAGGGCGTCCAACTGTTATTTGCCACGCTCGAGGTTCTTTGTTCGAATCCCAGGAGAGCCCACGAATTTTATTTGAGCTAATAAGACAATTAATGTGTCAGTAAATGAAAAAAGTAAGTAGCGTTCCAATCAACATCAATCTACTTCCGATTTGGTTGATGTAATTGGGAAGGCTAAATTTGTGTGACAATTTGATTTCCGTTTCAATTTGTCCATTAGAGCCCATTTACTTCTATTGTTTTAATTCTGGTCTATTTGCAGTGAGCTGAGATTAATTTTGTACCTAACCAATTGATTTTTTAATATCAAAAAATGTCATTTGATTAAGAGATAATGACAAAAAAAAATTAGTGGACTGGAAATGAAGACAGATACAGCTGAATCACTGAAACAGGAAGCATCCAAAACGAAACATTAAAAATATGTTTACTAATTGTGTAGTATTGTCAATGCAATATTATTTATTGAATATTTATTTTGTTTTAAAACGATAATTTCGTGTTTATAAATATATCAAATAGGCTAAACCCGCACGACTTGCAAATGTTGCGGAAGTGTTGGTCTTTCGCGCCGTACATTCATAATCATTTAATGGAGTAATTGTTTAAGTTGTTGTTTTATTGATAAACAATCTTATTATTATTTATAATTTGTTATTTCTTTATGGTTTTATTATTGATCAACAACTGTATAAATTTATTTAATAAACATATAGGTTACAAGTAAACAACGTAAGGGTCGTGTTAAGCGTTGTGTCCATGTTAGAACCATGCCTCCGTTAATAGAGAATAAAAAGAAATGGAAACAAATCCCAATATGTGTGCTATACCCTCAAAGGCAAAATAATTCCTCCAATTTATCTTAATCAAATTCCACTTCCAGCAGATTGCATCAAATAATTGAGGCTGTACATAATATAGAATCCACGTACGCAACTTAAAAGGGCAGAATTGAACTACAGGTACAAGAAAATTTTAAAAACTGTTTTCAAGACACAAAAAATACTTTACAGAGCTCTTCTAGCTCATATATAGGCTTACAGCCAGGAGCAGCTAAAAAATCGAACCTTAACAAAACCCAATCCCTCCACTCACGATGATCGATGCTCCTTTCTTTGTTAGTAGCCACTCAGACCTCCAAATTCCTATGTTACTGACCTGGCGAAAATCCGATTCCTCAAATTCCACTCAAAATTATCTCTTCATTCCAACTCTCCCATCCGTGGCCTTTCCTCTCTTATCCTCCCCTAGGAGGTTGAAGCGACGCTGGCCTCGCGACCAACTGCAAAAATAAAGCCATCCGTCGGGTGTACATCAAGTTGGACACAACGCTTAACACGCCGACTATTTTATTTACTTACAACCTATCTATTTATACAGATGTTGATTAATAATAAAACTATAAAGAAAAAACAAATTATAAATAGTAATAAGATTGTTGACTTTAATTCAAACAACAAATTAAACAATTTCTCCATTTTTTAATTTGCAGTACATTACAACTACTTTCAAGTAGGTAACAAGTAACAATAAGCAAGATAATATATACAAAATTAAAATCAAGAGTGGAGAAAATACCATTGGTATGATACTAAAATATTGTCTATTTAATTGATACTTGTGTCATGATCACTTTCACTATCATCACCATCACTTCCTAGGAGATCTCAAGACGTGGACGGTTTGAGGGATTTGGCGGGATGCGAGATTTTTGACGTGCTAATTTACGGCAGTTGGGAGGTTTTTGTGAAATTTGCGGTAACGTGAACGGATTTCATCTTGAACGAAAGGGATATGTAAGTCTGTATGTGCAGTTAGGTTCGATACATAAAATGGAGCATCTAGTATTTTTAGTAGGATTAAGGACTGACAGTTTGAATGCGGGGGATGTTGGAATGTTTGGCTGAACCTCTCATTTCAAGTCCGCAAGCCCATACCGGCTTAACTATGTGTTGTAAAGTAGCCTCTTATTTTTAAGGGCAAATTAGAACGTTTGTCAAGGAGTCGTGCAAGACCTCTGTATCATGTCATAAACTCCTGATGTTTTTGACGTGTGTGAGGATGGTTCATAGTACCGCATCTTGTTGGTAGTTGGGAGGGAAATATTATTTAAGAAAACAGAGGGAAAGTTATTTTTACGGAGAGTGAAGGTAATGTGAATGGATTTGTCTATGTTAAATTTTATCCTTTTTCTACACCAAGACTCTAGTAGTGTGAAGTGTTGTTGGAGGTTTGATTGGAAATGACAAGGTCGGAGTTGCCAGAAGAATTACTGTATCGTCTGCAAATGTGAATGTGGTGGTTTCGAGATGTGATGGCACGTCAGCTGTGAACACCTGGTATAGTGAGAGGGCCAGAACGCTACCCTGAGGAACACCAGCATGGAAAGGGAAATATGCTGCGAGTGAATGGCCTTCGATGACTTGGAAAAATCGCTCAATGAGGTAACTGCAGTATGACATAGTAGGTGGATGGAAGAATGCCCTTGAGCATAAACAGCAAGCCCGGATGCCAAACTCGATCAAAAGCTTGGTTTACGTCAAGAAAGGACCGAGAACAGAACTGTCCCAT